GGCGAAGAAAAGAGTTAAATGTGTGAAATAGTCATTTGGGTTCGCGGGAGAGTGTGATTATGAGGGTATTAAAGTAATTAACTTTTGCAGATGAAAGCGCCAAGCTGTATGAGCTCAGCATAAATTTATAGTGGAGAAAGTCAGATGCACAGTGAGACTTTCTCCAACAGCGTTCAGCAGTTCTGGAGCATTTTTGGAGCATTTTTCGAGAGAGCTTGGTGTGCCAGGGTTGTTGTTGGGGGACCTGCAGCGTTTAAATGTACAAGGTGCCATGATGTCTAGTTGAGAGGAGAGGGTGGAATTGTAGAAGGAGGTTGCAGAATTAGGACATGTGAGGTTTGAGATAGGTAAAATGAGAGTTTGGAGATTAGTGGAAAAATGCTCTAGGTCAAGAGATTGAAGGTTTCTGTGAGAGTGATGTTCAGACGGTGGTGTCAATTGGGTCTTAGGTATGCCAGTGTCAAAAGTCAGCAGATGGTGGTCAGATAGAGGAAAAGGAATATTGGAGAGATTAGAGCCTGTACAGAGGTTGGTGAAGGCGAGATCAAGGGTGTTTACGCTGTATGGGTTGCTAAATTGGACCATTGTGTAAGGCCAAAGGAGGAGGTTACAGAGAGCAGACAGTGCAATTGGGGTTATTGATTGGGATATTGAAATCCCCAAATAAGGGAAGGAGTGCTAGATGAGAGGAAGTGGGGAAGCCAGGAAGAAAAGTGCTCAATGAACAGTCTAGGGTAACCGGGAGGGCGGTACATGATAGCAATTCTTAAAGGGGTGGGTTTAAATAGGCGGACAGTGTAAACTTCAAAAGAAGAAAAGCATAGGGCAGGGGGAGTTATGATTGGTTGAAAGGTACATTGAGGGGAGAGAAGGATGTCTACGCTGCCTCCTTTACAGTTGAGTCTGGGAGTGTGAGAGAATTGTAGTCCACCAAAACACAAAGAGGCAGGAGTAGCGCTATCAGAAGGGGACAGCCAGGTCTCTGTAAGTGCAAGCAGTGTGAGTGAGTTTGAGATGAAAAAGTTGTGTATGTAGTCATAATAAGATTCCATTACTTCTCCACTAAAGAAGCAAGTATAGCAGAGACCATGACCTAAAATAATAGGATGCTACATTATCGATCTACCAGGATCTATCACCATCAACCCTGCAGAGACGCCAGGACTGGAGGCCTTTAACAGAGCTACTGCACCAGCATGACATAAGATATACATTGGGACATCCCTTTCAATTAGTCACATTCAAAGCAGGAAGAACCAGCACTCTCTTACCAGTTGCTGATCTGACCCACTTCCTCATTATACTGTTTATCACCCCTGCGACTAGTTTTGTCCTGCCCGGATTCATGAAAACTGCACTTACCACCCTCCCAAGAGACTGGCTTACCACCAAGGAGACTGCGGGTAACCGTGCAGGATGCTGCCCATGAGCACTTCAACCCATGGACTTCAGACCGCACAGTCACGGAAGCAGACCCTTCCCTTCATGACGATGAGCAGCTAAGTGTACAACGTTGCAGTATCTCAACCTGACTTGCATACATATAATCTGTTCTCCCACCACTAGAGATGCTGCTTGATAGAAGGGGGACATCTACATTACATGTTGTTGCTGGGATGCTTATCACACCCGAGTTAACCCTATTACCTGACATGATACCCTGATATACGCCATCAGTAATGCGATACATACTTGCATGAATATAGATGTAAATAACACCTCCATCGGTAAGGGATGCGGCAAGCTAGACGGGGAGACACCTGCAGGGGACGGGACACTGCAGAGCACATCCCCGATAGGGCATCCACACCCTACAGGCTTACAATTAGCTCTGCTGCAAAGATATAACCCACTGATCACAGCATGCTATAGTATGTAAATATGTTAATATGCAGCACAATTCCCTACATGCATAAAGCACCTCTGCCCCTGCTGTCAAGAGTTGCAGTGGGAATACTTGACACGCTGGAGATGACTAAACCGTAGGTAGTACAGTACCTGAGAACTAGCAGACAACATCCCCACCTAGAGATAGTGGTAGCGCTATATACAGGTAACATACAAATGCGCAGTGGATTAATATGGGGAACTGCCATCCTTACACGGGTACCCTTTGTGCACCCTGTGGGGAGGCAACCACCCCCAATTTGCTTTGGCACTGTATAAGACCAGAAACAGTTGTATTATATTGTTTTAATAAGGTACATTTATTTGTTGTTACTGTTGCATATCCGGTTGCTCATACTGATGCTCCATATGATGCCGGGGTTGAGAAGTACATGGATGCCCCACCCTTGCAGAAATCACAAGTCCCGCCCCCTCTGCAAACTCTGCTGCTACACTAACAACGGTTAACATAGCACACCCCAAACCCTAGTGACATGGCCCTTAAAATAATATCACTAAACGTGATGGGACTTAACACCTCTAATAAGAGAAGGCTCATGGGGCGAGACATGAAATCCAAAGGGGCGGACATTTCCCTGTTGCAAGAGACACGCCTCCCAAGGGCAGCACCTACCAAACTAGAAGATAGGAAATATACAGTAGTACATGAAGCACGGAACACCAGGAAAAAAGCATGCGATCGCGAGGTCCTTGCAAGGACCTCACATGGCCCAGGGGGGCCGAAGAGGAAGGAAGGGGACTCCCTGGGCTCCCAGGTGAGTCCCCACACCGCGATTGCCGGTGTGGGATCGCCGGCGACCTGGTAAGTACATAGGACTTGGGCGTTCTATGCTGCCCGCCGGCATTAAGTGCCGGGTCCCCAAGGACGGCATGGAATGCCTACCGTCCTTAAGGGGTTAAGACGGGTTTCATCGTAGAAGGGACACCCCCTAGGGCGTATTTTTGCACTGTTTGGTCCCATATTTGTTCGGAGTTTGTTATGGCTGGGCAGGTGGTCCTCAAGAGGGCTCTTTGGGGCCCAAATATAAAATTGGGGTAAATTGGCTCCCATGAGTAAGGATTCAATATCCACCCACCTTCTTTGCTCTGGGGTGTGTGCCTGTGTACTATTTGCACTAGTTGAGCTGCTAGATTACAATGGTATACATGTGGTAGCCCCCTCTATCTTTAGGCTTCTAGCCAGTCTAGGCCATTTTTTCTGCCATATAAAGGTGTCGATCGCCTTCTGTACGTTAGCTAGGTCCCCCTTAGTAACTTTTATAGGTAGTGCCTGGAACAAGAAAAATAATCTAGGTAGGACATTCATTTTTATGGAGTGTAGGTGTCCTATCCATGAGATGGGTTTATCTGTCAATCTCTCTAAATCTCCTGTCAGAGTGCCGAAAAGAGGTGTATGGTTACTGTGGAAAGGTTAAGCTGGGTTAGCCGTGAGGCGAACCCCTGGATATGTGAATGCTTCTGTTTCAATCTAAAGTTTGTATTGCTGTTGGATAGTTGCCGTGTCCAGGGTAAAGAGGTAGAAGGGCATAGCCACTGATTTAGTTAGGTTGACTTTGTATCCTGCTATATTGCCATATAGGGTTAACAATTTTTTAAGTCTGGCCATGGTTTCCATT